TGTAAACACTGCAAACCCCTCCTCCCCCCATTGTAAACACTGCAACCCCCTCCATTTGCCCTATGCAAATTCTATCTTCCTCACAGACACTGTCCTCACGTATTCACTTCTCTCTAGTACAGACCACCGTGTATCGCACCCTCCTGTAATGGGGCGGGGGTTATGGCTTCTTGCTCCGAACCCTTTGCCTTTTATTTGTCGGGGTGCGGGCGGAAATGAAAGTCAACTGAGAATCCGGTACATTTTACATTTCTAGCATTCGCACCACAAATTCGCTGTTACGGTATTAAAATTTGTGACGTTTCTCTCCGTCTCTCCACCTTCTGCATTGACAGAGGCCTGAAGCCTGGGAGACGAGTGTCAAGTCTCTGACTGATTCTCTCAGTACAGGCCGGGCACGGAGCGGTGAAGCCTGGCCTGCAGCTGGGGAAGATAACGGTCGCTCGGCAGCGGCTCGTGAAAGCCGCTCGTGGCTGTTGGTGGAGGGGGCGGACGGGGGAGGGGAACGGAACAGAAGGCGAGCTGTCTCCTCCTACCCCCCGGGCCGAGGGTAGATGGGACATTTCTTGGACGTTGATGTCAGAGCTCCAGTGGCGCAATCGGTTAGCGCGCGGTACTTATATGACAGTACAGAGTGAGCCATGCCGAGGTTGTGAGTTCGAGCCTCACCTGGAGCACATGTTTTACAGGCAACCAGAAAGAGAAATAAAAACACCTTTCCCTTCACTTTCGCCATACCAATCTCACTCCAATAATTAAATAATTACTGACTCAAAAGAAAACCCTCTGTTTTTGCGGGAAGAATTATTTTGAAAGTGATACATAAATTAATCAGCAACGGAAGAATAAGATCAATTTTATCTCTCCCGAAATTACAATATTATCGTAGTAATATTAAACATATTAATAAACATGTTATTCGTTCATAATGTTTAATTTTTAGCGTTTAAACTGTAGGGTCTTTTTTGGGGGGCAGCACAAAAAAATCTCTGCTCAAAAAGATGAGTTAATAAAACAAAAAGTAGTATCCGAGATGTGCTCTGAGCACTTTGCAATACGGAATGCATTTAAACCTTCCCGTCATCGTTGGGAAAGCTTTAACATCCCACCTTGTGTTCCAGACCTCTGCATTTTTAAAACTGTAATGACTCTAGGAAGGTATGCTTCATTGCAAATCTGAAGGTCTTGCTCAATAATGCAATCAGTGTTTTGGATTCGTTTTATATTACTGTAATTAACTGTAAGTCATGTTACTTTTTTCCTTATGTTTTCCTTTATTTCTCTATTTTGTATCTGAAAACTGTGCCTGGGTACTTTGTACCTACGATGGCGCAACCTGGGACTACATTGCAAACTTTTCATTATGCTCCTGTACTTATGTACTTGAGTACATGTGACAATAAGGGATATTCTATTCTATTCTACTTTCTAATGCTGAATTGTTAATTAGGTTTTTTGAAACATTTGCCTACTGGATTCAGAATTGTTTAGCATATTTACAGTGAGTAGGCTGCGAGAAAACAGTGAAAAATCATGAAATGGATGGAATTATTGGCCAACTCTCTCTTATTTGATTTCAATTTGATTCCAGTTCAGACTGGAAGGCTGGAAGCATCAAAGCCTTGTTCACTATTTAAGTTAATTTGGATTGCTTCACCCAGTTGGCAGCATGAATGTGTCAACATCACATCTGACATGAAACTGGCAATCTTAGTTGGTGTTTGGTTATTGTAGGGCTAGAGAATAGTGCAGCAGCATAAAAAGGGGTGCAACTGTGAAATAGATTGAGTCATACTTGAATCAAAGAATGGCAGGCAAACTGTAATAGAACAGAGTGAATTTGAGTATAGTTGAGGTACATAAAAAAAGAGAGAAAGATTGGGCAAAACTAACTGACATAAAGAAAAAGCTGGAATTCTGCAGCCATCCCCTCCCTCAGGGTCATACGCAGGGCCCATTGAATTGTCCATTATTGTGACAGCACCATGCCTGCATCTTACCTGCTTATAGAGTCATAGAGCCATAGAGATATACAGCATGGAAAGAGACCCTTCAGTCCAACTCGTCCATGCCGACCAGAAATCCTATATAATTCTAGTCCCATTTGCCAGTATTTGGCCTGTATCCCTCTAAACCCTTCCTATTCATATACCCATCCAGATGCCGTTTAAATGTTGTAATTGTACCAGCCTCCACCACTTCCTCTGGCAGCTCATTCCATACACGCACCACCCTCAGTGTGAAAAAGTTGCCGCTTAGGTCCCTTTTAAATCTTTCCCCTCTCACCTTAAACCTATGCCCTCTAGTTTTGGACTCCCCCATCCTGGGGAAAAGACCTTGGTTTTTACCCTATCCATGCCCCTCATGATTTTATAAACCTCTATAAGGTCACCCCTCAGCCTCTGACATTCCAGGGAAAATAGTCCAAGCCTATTCGGCTCAAACCCTCCAACTCTGGCAACATCCTTGTAAATCTTTTCTGAACCCTTTCTAGTTTCACAACATCCTTCCTATAGCAGGGAGACCAGAATTGGACACAGTTTTCCAAAAGTGGCCTGGCGGATGTCCCATACAACTGCAACATGATCTCCCAACTCCTATACTCAATGCACTGTTATGACCACTCCTATTGTGATTACATCAATTAATGATCCCCTAAGAGTCTATTCTTGCCACTGCTGGGATTTTACCATTGGCTGGGTAGGCCAAGTGTCCAAACTGCTGACTCATGACCAATCGGGGAATGAGTTACCTCCTTTAAGGGCACAATTTGCATATCAGAGGTCTCCTAAAAAACTTCCTCCCCAGATTTTCTCCAACCCCCATCTCACCCCGTAAGAGATTCCCCTCAGTCAGAATTGCCCCTCAATTTTGTCCTAAGTAGACTTACATTTATGTTGGGGCTCCATTGGCATCTTCTCTTGGAATTATGTGATGTTCCAGCAGTGGCCGCTGATGCTGATTGGGAGAGAGCTTCAGTCCTCAGATGGATTGGAGGTGGGCTTGATATTAGGACCACAACTTATCTTGATCCATACTAATGAACTAAGACACAAATTGAAAATTTACTGTTGACACCAAACTTGAAAATACTGTGAACCATGGGGACAATAAAAACAGAGTTCAACACCACGCACAGGATGATAGTATGGAAGGACTGAGGTTAGAGTCAACTTAATACAGGAAAGTATGAAAAGATACATATATTGGTAAGGAGGCTAATGAGATACAGTATAAAATAAAGGATTCAGTTTTTAAAAAGAAGCAGGAATAGAGGAATCTTAAGGAAAATGTGCAGAAATTATTGAAGGTGGCAGAACAGGTTGAAAAATAGTTAACACGACAGATAGGATTTAAATTTTGTAAGTAGTGGGCATGAAGTCCAAAATAACTTGGAAGCCATGGTGAACCTACATAAAAGCATTACTGGTTTGGCCAAATGAAATATTGTGTCCAATTCTGGGCATCGCACATTCAGAAGGATGTAAGGTATTGTAACAGCTGCAAACAGATTCATGAGAATTATTCCAGAGATGAGGGACTTCAGTTAACTTGATGGATTGCAGAAAATGGGATTGCTGTCCTTCAAAGTATTGAGATGAGATTTCAATGTCATGAGGAGTTTGGGCAGAGTACCTGAAGTGAAACTTCCCATTGGCAGAAGGGTCAATAAGTAGATGATTTCAAATTAAGGTGACTGGTTTAAGAACAAGAATTAACACAAGGATATTTGTTCAGGCAGCTAGAGGTGTGGATCTGGAATTTATTTATGAATCAGCAACAGAATTTGGCCATTTGGCCTGACAATCTTGTTCTGCCATTCAATATGAACATGGCTGATCTGTTAGTGTTTCAAATTCCATACTCCCAATAACCTTTGATTCCTTGCCTAATAAGAATCTATCTACCTTAGTCTTAAAACTATTCAACCATCTTGCCTTCTGACGCAGAGAATTCTAAAGCTGCGTAATCCTCTAACAGAAAAATACTTGCCTCATCGCAATCTTAAAACAGCAACTCTTAATTCTTAAACAGCACCCCCACCTGAAATTGCCTGAGACTGTGTTGGAGTGTGTTCTGGTTTGGGCTTTCAAAAGAGAATTGGATAAATATTTGAACAGAAATTGCAGGCTGTTCAGAAAGGACAGGAATGTGGGATTAGCTGCGTTCTTTCAAAGAGCTGGCACAGGCATGAAGGGCTGAATGGTTTTCTTCTTGATGCAACTATCCAACATTTCCAAGATTCTATGCCTTTAAGTTGTTTCAGTAGATTGATTAACTTACATGTCTCTGGGAGGTGACATTTTTCAGCCTCTTTCTCACCCTTTACTCTACAATATTAAAAATTTCTCAGAGTAATATCTTAGGCCCAACCATATTGAGCTGTTCCATCGATGGCCTTGCCTCACGTCCCGACCTGGCCGTATGCCCATATCCTTAGATTAGAACTGGGAATATTTGCTAGTTCTTGGTCATTTGCCACTCCTCAGATAATTAAGACGTCTGAGCCCATATGACACAAAACCTGGATAATATTCAGGTTTGGTGTGTGACAAGTCACATTCATACCATACAACTGCTAAGCAATAGCTATTTCCAACAATAAGAATCTAACCATTTCCCTTAACATTCAGTGGTATTACTATAAGTGAAGTCCCCTACAATCAACACCTTGAAGGTTGCTATTGACCAGAAATATAACTGGACCAGCCAAACTAATCGTGTGGCTTCAAGAGCAGATCAGAGTCTGGATGTTCTGCAATGAATGACGCACCTCCTGACTTGTCACAATCTTTTCACCATCTACAAGGCACAATTCAGGATTGTAATGAACTACTCCCCACTTGTCTGGAGAAGCAGCATTCAAGAAGATTAACAATATCCAAGAAGTGCAACACAGTCTCATACAAATTAGCCCATTTAATTGACGCCATTTTAAATGTGCACTACCTCTCCAACTCAGTGCACTTTTGCTGAGGTGTGTCCCATCTACAAACTGTATTGCATCAAAGTGTGTTGCAACTTCTTTGACAGCACCACCTAATCCTGTAGCTTCTACAGGACACACAAATGTGCCAATGAAAGGTCCCTTCCAATCATACATCATTCTGACATAATTATGTAATGCCATTCCTTCACTGTCACTGGGTCAAAACCCTTCCTAACACCACTGTGGGTTTACCCGCATTGCAAGGACTGCAACAGTTTAAGAAGGTGGCTCATCTCTACTTTCTCAAGGGGTAGGCAATAAATGGTGGCCTTACCAATGATGCACAGATCCCATAAATTAGTAAAATAAATGGAAGGACTTTCATGATAAAAAGTAGCTCATTATGGAGAATGATGTGATTGAGTCAAACTAAAAGTAATTTAGAAATGTCAAGTTGTGCCTAAAGGACTTTCTTTAATTCACTGTGATTAAATGGTGAATCACGTAAGCAGGATGTTGCTAATTCATTAGGAAGATCCTGGTCAGTTCCTGTTCCAGAATAAGCTGTTCTGAAGTATCTCTCCATCATGTTGCACTCTGCACAGAGATTTCACTCATCTGTTTGGAACTGGAAGTTCTGCTCTTTCTGTGGATGTGTGGAAATTTCTAATCAGGACAGCAAATGTATGCTGATTTTGTTTATTAAAAAAAGGGACCTCAGGAGCAGGTAGGGGGAAAAGAATCAGCCAGATTTCCTGCTTATACCCACTAGCCCCTGTCTG